CTCTTGTGTTGAAGAGGTGGATGCAGCAATGTGTGCCCGACCACACAAGGTTGATGGGCGTGTAGTGGAACCAAAGAGAGCTGTTTCTAGAGAGGTATTTTGATGACACTATACTGTGTAATATGTGAGATTGTTGGAGAATTTGGTTTTTGACTTTTTTTTTATTTGTAGGATTCTGTAAAGCCTGGTGCCCATCTAACAGTGAAGAAAATTTTTGTTGGTGGTATTAAAGAAGACACAGAAGAATATAATTTGAGAGACTACTTTGAAAAGTATGGCAAGATTGAAACCATAGAAGTTATGGAAGACAGGCAGAGTGGAAAAAAGAGAGGATTTGCTTTTGTAACTTTTGATGATCATGATACAGTTGATAAAATTGTTGGTAAGTAGAAATTTATTGGAACTTGAATGAGAAAACAAAAGGTCCCTTTGTGCTATGTTAGATTTGCCAAATTGCTTATTTTGTATTGCATTTAATAGCATATAAAGTATGTGGTTCAGTTTTCATAAATGACATTTTAGAACACTGATTCTCAAAGTCACTATTTTCTTGATGATGTTTTAATGTTATGTAGTGATAGAGGTTATTTGTGATTTTCCAAACCTCAAATAATTTGTTTGTTTGTTTGATTAAAAAAAATTTTTAGTTCAGAAATACCACACTATTAATGGGCATAATTGTGAAGTGAAAAAAGCCCTTTCTAAGCAAGAAATGCAGTCTGCTGGATCACAAAGAGGTGAGTAGTACAATATATATACATAAAATAGGTGTGAGTGACATTTGTAAAGTTTTTAAAGCTCTCCCTTGCCCATGTTAAAGGTCGTGGAGGTGGATCTGGCAACTTCATGGGTCGTGGAGGAAACTTTGGAGGTGGTGGTAACTTTGGCCGTGGTGGAAACTTTGGTGGAAGAGGTAAGAGGGTTATCTTTGATTGTCTTCCTGAAGTTGATTGGTAAGTTGTATAGTTTTAATTCCTATCTTGCTTTTCGTCAGGAGGCTATGGTGGCGGAGGTGGTGGCAGCAGAGGTAGTTATGGAGGAGGTGATGGTGGATATAATGGATTTGGAGGTGACGGTAAGTTTTTAACGGATGTTTGATATTTTAATTCTGTTCCTATACTTTATGGAAAGTTACATTTGTTTCTATTTTTAATTTTAGCTATACCTAGCATGACTTGACGATATTCAAATATGATTCTGAACTAATACCATGGAAGACTAGACTTACCCCCCATAAATTTGCAACATTAGCTAGTTCCTTTTTTTTTTTCTTTTTTAAGATTTTATTTATTTGACAGCGACACAGCGAGAGAGGGAACACAAGCAGGGGAGTGGGAGAGGGAGAAGCAGACTCCGGCTGAGCAGGGAGCCTGATGTGGGGCTCAATCCCAGGACCGTGGGATCATGACCTGAGCCAAAAGCGGATGCTTAATGACTGAGCCACCCAGGGGCCCCTAGCTGGTTCCTTTTTTGGTCAGAAATATTGTGCTAGCATTTGAGCTGAATTTTCTCTCAGGAGACTGTTCACTATTTTCTTTAGTGAACTTTAATTTTTTTTTTTTTTTAAAGATTTTATTTATTTATTTGACAGAGAAATAGCACAAGTAGGCAGAGTGGCAGGCAGAGGGAGAGGGAGAAGCAGGCTCTCCGCTGAGCAGGGAGCCGGACATGGGGCTCGATCCCAGGACCCTGGGATCATGACCCGAGCCGAAGGCAGCCGCTTAACCGACTGAGCCACCCAGGCGCCCCAACTTTAATTTTTAGAAACAATTTTTTTAGTATAAAAAGATATGTAAGCTTTCATCTTAATCCTCACTGGATCAGGATTTTTGTTTTTGTTTTTTTTTTAACTTGAATTATTTTGACAGAACACAGGCAGACAGGGTTGGGAGGGAATGGCAGCGTTCAGAGAAAGAGAAGCAGGTTCCCCACTGAGCAGGGAGCCTGATGCAGGGCTCAGTCCCAGGACCCTGGGATCATGACCTGAGTGGAAGGCAGACGCTTAACCAACGGAGCCACCCAGGTGTCTCTAGCCCAGGTTTTTGATGCTCTGTTAATGACGTAGTACCAGTCTTTCGAGTGTTAAGTCATTGGTTTATTTTCAAGTTGACTAATTGTAATATAGAGTTGAATAACTTGACTTTACACGTGTATGTTTTTGGGTGACTCCCGCCCCCCCCTTTTTTTAAGGTGGCAACTATGGTGGTGGTCCTGGATATAGTAGTAGAGGAGGCTATGGTGGTGGTGGACCAGGATATGGAAACCAAGGAGGCGGATATGGAGGTGGTGGTGGAGGATACGATGGTTACAATGAAGGAGGAAATTTTGGAGGTGGTAAGCTTTCACTTGTTTTAAATGTTCAAAATTGTTTAAATTCAAAAAGTGTTAAAATGTAGCATTTGGTCAAATAGTAATATTAGAAAATCCTTAAATGATGAATGATTAAACTGAATTTTCTTTGTTGGCTATTTAGCAAATTGGTAAATTATGTTCACTTTTTATGTAATTGAAATGGGCATTTTTCAGTAATGTATTTTGCTAGTATTTAGTGCTAATTCTGGGCACTTTTAAATTAGACAAATGGGAACTGCAAATTGAATGCAGACACATTGAAATGAATAAGGTGTGGTCTGGAGTTCAGGGCACAGAAGTACTTGGAATTTTAACGTCCTAGGTACATTTCAGACAATAAGCAAGTTTGCATCGTTATTCCATAGTAACTACAGATAAAGAGCTTTGTTATAAACAAATGCACTGAATTTTGTTGGGGTGCATTAATGTTTTCAACTTTCGGTTTTTAGGTTTGTTTTTTTTAATTTTTAAATTTACTTTAAGCTTTGTGCCCAACATGGGGATCAAACTCGCAACCCCAAAATCAAGAGTTGTATGCTCTACCCACTGAGCCAGCCAGGCACCCCTAGAAAATTTTTTTGACCAGCCACTCTAGATACCTTTTTTGTCATTGACTTAAAAGTTATGCTATGTCCAAATTAGAGAATCAAGCAAAGTTGATAGTGGTATGAAGACAAGAATGTGTGCTAGGGTGTTGGCATCTGATGTGGGCAAAAGATGGCACCTATCTAAATACATGCTCTTCTGGACCGTCTTCATTATTTCCCCTCTCAATGCCTGAGGTCTGGTAGTGGGCCTCTGTGGAGTTGGTAGTTCTATATACGTTTTTTGAAGGGTTGCATTGTAAGTGTTCCTAGTGTGCTGTTGTGATTGTGGAAAGTTAATCATATATATTAAAAGAGGAAAATAATTGTGTAGGTTAACTACAAACAAAACTTTTTTGTAATTTCAGGTAACTATGGTGGTGGTGGGAACTATAATGATTTTGGAAATTATAGTGGACAACAGCAATCAAATTATGGACCCATGAAGGGGGGCAGTTTTGGTGGAAGAAGCTCGGGCAGTCCCTATGGTGGTAAGTACTCCTCCCCTTCTCCCTTTTGGTTAAAAATTTTCATGGATTTCTTAATTTAAAAACTTACACAAGTTTTTTTAAATATGTTTATTTCTAGGTGGTTATGGATCTGGTGGTGGAAGTGGTGGATATGGTAGCAGAAGGTTCTAAAAAAATTTCAGAAGAAAAGGGTAGGTATCTTTAAAATTTTATCATGATGATAAAGAATATGTGGAACTGTTCACTGAGTGTAATAATTTTTTTATCCTGTATTATTCAACAGGCTACAGTTCTTAGCAGGAGAGAGAGCGAGGAGTTGTCAGGAAAGCTGCAGGTTACTTTGAGACAGTCGTCCCAAATGCATTAGAGGAACTGTAAAAATCTGCCACAGAAGGAACGATGATCCATAGTCAGAAAAGTTACTGCAGCTTAAACAGGAAACCCTTCTTGTTCAGGACTCTCATAGCCACAGTTTGCAAAAAGTGCAGCTATTGATTAGTGCAATGTAGTGTCAGTTACATGTACATTCCCGAGGTCTTTTATCTGTTGTAGCTTTTTCTTTTTCTTTTCATTACATCAGGTATATTGCCCTGTAAATTGTGGTAGTGGTACCAGGAATAAAAAATTAAGGAATTTTTAACTTAAAAAAAAAAAAGAAGAAGAACAAGAGGCAGTACTGACTGGCAGGGACCTAATCAATACAGACATTAGTAAGATGTCAGAACTAGAGTTCAGAATGATGATTTTATTTTATTTTTTAAAGATTTGTATTTATTTATTTAAGAGAGACAGAATGAGAGAGAGAGCACATGAGAGGGGGGAAGGTCAGAGGGAGAAGCAGACTCCCTGCCGAGCAGGGAGCCCGATGCAGTACTCGATCCAGGGACTCCAGGATCATGACCTGAGCCAAAGGCAGTCGCTTGACCAACTGAGCCACCCGGGCACCCCAGAATGATGATTTTAAAGATACTAGGTAGGCTTGAAAAAAGCATGGAAGTTATTAGGAGAAACCCTTTCTGGAGAAATAAAAGAACTAAAATCTAACCAAGTCAAAGTCAAAAAAGGCTATTAATGAGGTGCAATAAAAAATGGAAGCTCTAACTGTCAGGATAAATGAGGCAGAAGAGAGAATTAGTGATATAGAAGACCAAATGATGGAAAATAAAGAAGCTGAGAAAAAGAGAGTTAAACAACTACTGGATCACGAGGGCAGAATTCAAGAGATAAATGATACCATAAGATGAAAGAACATTAGAATAATTGGGATCCCAGAAGAAGAAGAAAGAGAGAGGGGCAGAAAGTATATTGGAGCAAATTATAGCAGAGAACTTCCCTAATTTGGGGAAGGAAACAGGCATCAAAATCCAGGAGGCACAGAGAACCCCTCTCAAAAATCAATAAAAATAGGTCAACACCCCGACATCTAATCGTAAAATTTATGAGTCTCAGAGACAAAGAGAAAATCCTGAAAGCAGCTCGGGAGAAGAGATCTGTGACCTACAATGGTAGAAACATTAGACTGACAACAGACTTATCCACAGAGACCTGGTAGGCCAGAAAGGACTAACATGATATATTCAAAGCACTAGATGAGAAAAATATGCAGCCAAGAATACTATATCCAGCTAGGCTGTCATTGAAAATAGAAGGAGAGATAAAAAGCTTCCAGGACAAACAAAAACGAAAGGAATTTGCAAACACGAAACCAGCCCTCCAAGAAATATTGAAAGGGGTCCTCTAAGCAAAGAGAGAGCCTAAAAGCAGCATGGACCAGAAAGGAATACAGACAATATACAGTAACAGTCACTTTACAGGCAATACAATGGCACTAAATTCATATCTTTCAATAGTGACGCTGAAGGTAAAGGGGCTAAATGTCCCAGTCAAAAGACACAGGCTATCAGACTGGATAAAAAAGCAAGACCCATCAATATGCTGTCTGCAAGAGGCTCATTTTAGACCCAAAGACACCCCCAGATTGAAAGTGAGGGGGTGGAAAACCATTTACTATGCTAATGGACACCAAAAGAAAGCTGGGGTGGCAATCCTTGTATCAGACAAATTAGATTTTAAACCAAAGACTGTAATAAGAGATGAGGAAGAACACTATATCCTACTTAAAGGGTCTATCCAACAAGAAGATCTAACAATTGTAAATATCTGCCCCTAACATGGGAGCAGCCACTTACATAAGCCAATTAATAACAAAAGCAAAGAAACACATCGACAACAATACAATAATAGTGGGGGACTTTAACACCCCCCTCACTGAACTGGACAGATCATCTAAGCAAAAGATCAACAAGGAAATAAAGACTTTAAATGACACACTGGGGGCGCCTGGGTGGCTCAGTCATTAAGTGTCTGCCTTCAGCTCAGGTCATGATCCCAGGGTCCTGGGATCGAGCCCCGCATCGGGCTCCCTGCTCCACGAGAAGCCTGCTTCTCCCTCTCCCACTCCCCCTGCTTGTGTTCCCTCGCTCGCTCTCTGTCAAATAAATAAATAAAATCTTTAAAAATAAATAAATAAATAAATGACACACTGGACCAAATGGACTTCACAGACATATTCAGAACATTCCATCCCAGAGCAACAGGATACACATTCTTCTCTAGTGCCCATGGAACATTCTCCAGAAGTGATCACATCCCAGGTCACAAGTCAGGGCTCAACCAGTACCAAAAGATTGGGATCATTCCCTGCATATTTTCAGACCACAATGCTTTGAAACTAGAACTCAATCACAAGAGGAAAGTCGGAAAGAACTCAAATACATGGAGGCTAAAGAGCATCCTACTAAAGAATGAATGGGTCAACCAGGAAATTACAGAAGAATTTAAAAAATTCATGGAAACCAATGAAAATGAAAACACAACTGTTCAAAATCTTTGGGATGCCGCAAAGGCGGTCCTAAGAGGAAAGTATATAGCAATACAAGCCTGTCTCAAGAAACAAGAAAGGTCTCAACTACACAACCTAACCCTACACCTAAAGGAGCTGGAGAAAGAACAGCAAATAAAGCCTAAACCCAGCAGGAGAAGAGAAATAATCAAGATCAGAGCAGAAATCAATGAAACAGAAACCAAAAGAATAGTAGAACAGATCAACGAAACTAGGAGCTGGTTCTTTGAAAGAATTAACAAGATTGATAAACCCCTGGCCAGACTTATTAAAAAGAAAAGAGAGGGAGGAGAGGAAGGGAAGGGAGGGGGAGCAGCGGGCGGCAATAGCGGTGAATTTTTCTGGAAGTGGGTGGGGGGCGCCACTCACAGCCCCAGGTGCTGCTTGTGCTGGGAGCCACGGTGTCTCCTGGACACTCCAGTGAAAGAAAAGCACAAGAAGAAAGTTTTACAGTCACTGTTGATATGACTATTATGCTGATCCCCCAAATCAAAAAAAGGCTCCTGAGACCCAGGGGACAGATCATAGTGTTGTGCTTTGGAGGTCGAGGAAACTTAGAAACTGATTCTGTCACAGTTTAAGATGCCTTTGGAAAATTCTGCATTCTTCTTAGATGAATCTTTAGAACTTGATAACCATCAAATCATTGGCCAGATTTGTCTGAGTTGATTATATATTGTTATTTTTTGAAATCTTAAGAGACAAGATAAGCCATTAATCCAAAAATTACCAATCTCAAAGAAACTTAGAAGCTTCCTTCTTATAAAGTTTTAAAATGTACTAAAAGCTACTCTTAGATAGGAAGATTCATATATTCTCATCTAAGTTTTCTGAAACTTCCCCAACTTATCCACTGAATCTCTTTTTTAAATGAACCTTCCCTGTGTAGTTTGCTCAAGAACCCAGACTTTAAAATATTATCCTGCAGAACACCTTGTAAAGATCAGATAGTTCAAGTGGCATTTAGTTGAGGAAAACTATACCAGATTAAAGGAGTCTATGGAGATCGGACAGCTCAATGCAATCAACACATGACTCAGGACTCGATCCTGTATTGGAGGAAGAAGAAAGCCTTAGAGGACTCCATATGCTCAGCTAAAAAAACAACAACAACAACAAAAAACTGGAAAATAGACATTAAATAAAAATTTTGTATAATTGTTAAAAAAAAAGAAAGAAATGACCCAAGTAAATAAAATCATGAATGAAAGAGGAGAGATCACAACCAACACCAAAGAAATACAAACAATTATAAGAACATATTATGAGCAACTATATGCCAGCAAATTAGATAACCTGGAAGAAATGGATGCATTCCTAGAGACGTATCAACTACCAAAACTGAACCAGGAAAACATAGAAAACCTGAACAGACTTATAACCACTAAGGAAATTGAAGCAATCAAAAATCTCCCAACAAACAAAAGCTCAGAGCCAGATGGCTTCCCAGGGGAATTCTATGAAACATTTAAAGAAGAATTAATACCTATTCTTCTGAAATTGCTCCAAAAAATAGAAATGGAAGGAAAACTTCTAAACTCACTTTATGAGGCCAGCATTACCATGATCCCCAAACTAGACAAAGACCCCATCAAAAAGAATTATAGACCAATATCCTTGATGAACATGGATGCAAAAATTCTCACCAAAATACTAGCCAAGAGGATCCAACAGTACATTAAAAGGATTATTCCCCACAAGCAAGTGGGATTTATCCTTGGGCTGCAAGGTTGGTTCAACATCTGCAAATCAATCAATATGATACAATACATTAATAAAAGAAAGAACAAGAACCATATGATCCTCTCAATAGATGCAGAAAAAGCATTTGACAAAGTACAGCATCCTTTCTTGATTAAAACTCTTCAGAGTATAGGGATAGAGGGTACGTACCCCAATATCATAAAAGCCATCTATGAAAAACCTACAGGGAATATCATTCTCAATGGGGAAAAACTGAGAGCTTTCCCCCTAAGGTCGGGAACATGGCAGGGATGTCCACTATCACCATTGCTATTCAACATAGTACTAGAAGTCCTAGCCACAGCAATCAGACAACAAAAAGAAATCAAAGGCATCCAAATCAGCAAAGAAGAAGTCAAACTCTCACTCTTTGCAGATGATATGATACTTTATGTGGAAAACCCAAAAGACTCCACCCCAAAACTGCTAGAACTCATACAGAAATTCAGTAAAGTGGCAGGATATAAATCAATGCACAGAAATCAGTGGCATTCCTATACACCAAGACAGGAGAAAGAGAAATTAAGGAGTTGATCCCATTTACAATTGCACCCAAAACCATAAGATACCTAGGAATAAATTTAACCAAAGAGGCAAAGGATCTGTACTCAGAAAACTATAAAATACTCATGAAAGAAATTGAGGAAGACATAAAAAATGGAAAAACGTTTCATGCTCATGGATTGGAAGAACAAATGTTGTGAAGATGTCAATACTACCTAGAGCAATCTACACATTCAATGCAATCCCTATCAAAATACCATCCACTTTTTTCAAAGAAATGGAACAAAGAATCCTAAAATTTGTATGGAACCAGAAAAGACCCCGAATAGCCAGCGGAATGTTGAAAAAGAAAAGCAAAGCTGGCGGCATCACAATCCCGGACTTCACGGTCTATTACAAAACTGTATTCATCAAGACGGTATGTTACTGGCACAAAAACAGACACATAGATCAATGGAACAGAATAGAGAGCCCAC